TTCTAGGTAATGTGACATGAAGAGGCAGAAGGTTTGGGATGATCTGCAGACCTTGCAGAATTATCTGCCCTAAATTTACTCTGAGAAAGCTTTCTTGATGCTCCTCCACATGATTGAGCACTCTCAATTTACGAAACCAATACATTAACTTTGATAACGAGCTTCTAATCATCATTTGCCACCTAACAACAAGCCGAGCAGATGGGGAGCCACATTTCCATCGTGCTCCATCTTCCACTACAGCCACTGCTAAAAGCAAAGTGAAGTTCTGGTGGGAAGTGTGAACGTTTCCGAGTGGCTGAAACCTGGCTCCATCTGCTCAAGCAGACGGGACGGAGCGACGCGGCAGGAATGACAAAGTAGCCGCCGCAGGGGACGGATTGGGAGCAGCGCACGTACCTCTGGGCTGTGTCGCAGGGGGAGCCTTTCCTCTTCCGAGAGTCAGGGTTGGCAGGGTCCGTTGAGCTGTCCCCAAGGCCACTCATGTTGGTTGACCTACTTTGCACCTGGAACCAAAAGAAGGACAGGATAAGAGCAAGCTTTTTGCAGCTGCCGGAGGAACGGTTCCTCTGCAGCAGAAAACATGGACCAAGTGACCTCTGAACCTAACACAAGTCTTTCTTATTTAATTGATGCCTTGTTTTTGAAGGAAACAGTGTGAAGAGAAGACAGCACATGATGACTCTCCTCTTGATGTTCCCTGATCACCATTTGGCCAAGAAAACCCTCTCCACCATCCTTACATCACAGACTGAGCTCTTTCCTTTAGCCCCTTTAGCTTCCTGGCCTTACATCATTGTAACAACCACCCCACCACAGCCTGTTCCAATGCTTTGTTCATGTGTGTTTGATTGCTTTTCCTTTGTTTCCTTCTCCTACAAGCCTTCTCCTTCAGCCCATCTTCAGCTCCTCTGCCATCTCCCCCCATTCCTCTGACTCACGGCTGGCAGAGGATGCTCCACCCCTCACATTGTGTCTGCGTTCCTGCTCCCCCACCACCTCCTTTCCCCTCAGCACATGGCCTGGGCTTTAATTAAAGCTGCAAACTGACTCATCTCCTAACGGGATGTGACACCCTCCCACGAACCCCTTCCCCACCCCCTGCTGAGATTGCCTCCCATACATTGTCCGCCCAGCCTCAACCTTCTCCTGGCAGAGAGCTTCCAACCATGGGCGATCCTTGACCAGTCCTAACACTGGACATCTCCTGGATTCCAGCTCCCTCCAACACATGGACATTAAACCATTATTTTTAGGGTGTAATCTCAACACATGTTGGGTAAACTAGTCCATGCTATGGCAAATAAGAAGTCTAAGCAACCAAAGAATGTCCAGAGGTCCAGATCCAGAAGAATCATGAGGATTGTAACACTGCAATGTGCACTCCACATGCTAATGCTCCTTAATTATGACATATTTTTTCTATTTAACTGAATAAAATACCATATCAGCCCAATAAGGGCAAGAAAGCCAATTAAGGTGTATTTCTGGATGCTTCACCTTGAAGTGTGGTAAAGAGTAAAGAGTTTGGCCAAAGACCATGATACTCTTAGACCTGAGAACTCAAAACAGTCTGCTCCAAGAACTAAAGAACTATGTAAGCTTGTAGGATGTAGTCAAACCTTCTACAACATGTTAAAACTAGAAACAACCTGTGAAAAATAAAGTACCAGGACCCTGGACCAGAAGTTTGTAATTTAGAGGGCAGAAGGACTAAGTTCTTAAATTTAATCCCCTTGATTCTTCCACCAATTTCTAAAAGCTGTGATTTTAACAAGCACTGAACTGATGACAGATTGTGAAAAAACAAAACCTAGAAGATATGTCCACAGTTCCCACAGCCCATGTTTTATTCAGCCATCCCAAAAGCTGGGCAGGATTCCTTTGGTTGTCCAACACCTCCTATCCACTGCCCAACCGGGCACAAGGTGGCTGCTCATCAAAAGTCATCAGTGCTGGAGTATCTCACCCTCAGATGATTATTAAAATGATGAATATAAAAATCCCACTAGATTCTGAAAGTCCCCTGAATCCCAAACCACACCTGCAGACAGGCTTCTCAGAGCAGTGCAGAAGGATGGACACAGCCAGGAGCATCGCATCAACTCCCTGGTTGCTTGAGGAATCCAGTGTCCATATTAAAATCCAGAAAGCCAAATGTATCCTGGGTTGCACCACCAGAAATGTAACCAGCAGAGTGAGAGAGAGGATTCTCCCCCTCTCCAGTGAGCCCCCTTACAGTGCTGGGTCCAGCTCTGGGGTCTCCAACACCAGTAGGACATGGAGCTGTGGGAGCAAGTCCAGAAGAGGCCATGGAGACGATCCAAGGGATGAAGCAGCTCTGCTCTGGAGAAAGGCTGGGAAAGTTGGGGTTGTTGAGCCTGGAGAAGGCTCTGGGGAGACTTTAGAGCACCTTCCAGGACCTGAAAGGGGATGAGGACAGATGGGGACAGACTTTTCAGGAGGGCCTGCAGCAATAGGACAAGTAGTAAAGGTCTGAAACTGGAAGAGGGGAGATTCAGAGTAAATCTAAGGAAGGTACACTACCCTGAGGGTAGTGACATTGGCCTTGGTCAGCCAGTGAGGTGGTAGAAGTCCCATTCCTGAAACATTCCAGGTCAGGTTGGACAGGGCTCTGAGCAGCCTGATCTAGTTGAAGATGTCCCTGCTCACTGCAGGGGCATTGAACTAGATGGCCTTTAAAGGCCCCTTCCAAACCAAACCACCCTGAGATTCAACAATTCTACGTAAACCAGCATTACCAGCTTCATTATCTCCTACAACTGAGGTGTCCAGGAATGTGTTACACATTTTTGCTCTCCCTAGACCCACCTCTGTGCTCAAAATATCTACTCCAAATCTGCACTTCACACAGTGCTCCAGGGACAGAGCCTGTTTCTTGGCACTTCTGTTCATGCCTCCATCACCAGTGCTGAGGCGAAGGCGGTTCCTGACATCACTTTATCAATATTATCATGAGCAGTTGATGCCACAGGCACGAGAGCTCATCCACCAAATCCAGAAACCTTGAGCAGATGCCAGCAAGCTAGCCATGCCCACAGGTCTGAGTTAAAATTCCCCCACCTTTGGCATGCTTGCAAGAAGGAATGATGCCAAGGAAAATAGAATGAAGAGGGGGGAAAAGCAAACTCTTGAAAAATGTCAAGATTGTAAAATTAAATGTGCTGCATCATCTGCTCTGGGTGAGAAGAGCTCACTGAGGTTTCGGACAAGGGGTTTAAACCTTTATCTTGAAGGTTTAACTTGCTCTCACCAAAACATCGAGTCTCACAGGTACTGATTTCCACTTGGTAACTGAATTAAAAGGAAAAATAAACAGGGATATGGCAGGTAAAGTCGACTGTCCCACCAGGATGCTCTGCTGCAGGATCATGGCTTGGCAAGAGCGACCATATGCCCTAGAGAGGTGAACTAAGGACAACATTGCAGCTTTAGCTGAAATCCTTGGCTGGAGTTAAGCCGTTGATGTAATATCCTCAATGTTTCTTTTTATTGTAAAAGTAGTTTATTTTACGGCAAAATTTGCCAGGGCTGACAAGCCAAAAAAATGTCAGTTGGTCCAAAAATAACGAGGATGACTCAGTTTGAAAGCCCCACTGGGTCAGGGCAAGACCAGAGGATGAGGTCCCCCATGGAGGGCTGGGGTTGGGTGGCCAGTGCAAGGGGACCCTGCCGGTTGCTGCCTGTGCCGGGGCCCATGCACCGGAAACCTGATTTCTAACACCAGCTTCTTGTAAAAACATCCATATTTTGCTGGCTTAGGAAAGCCAACGGAGGCAGAGGAAGGAGGGCCAATGGTAATGAAAACAAGCTAATTAGTTAATCCAGAGAGAGGGGGAAGTGGTTTCCAGGCTTAATATGGGGGCTCTCCAGTGCAGACCTGTGCTAAACTGATTGCTCTTCTGCTGCTACAAGCCATCAAAAACATATAATAAGGAATAATATAAAGTGCTGCTGGTGTTCCCACGGCATTGCTTGCTCGCTGGGGCTCCTTTGGAGATGTTTGACCACGGCAGGAGCAACATGTAAGTGTTGCATCAATGCAAAGAGTGCTGGCCTCTTGCCTTCCTCCAGATGAATGTGGAAGAAACCTCATTCCAAAGATGCCCTTAACCTGCTGCTCTGAAGAAACTCCATGTCATGGTGCAAACCCAAAAGGTAGAGAATGGATTGAGAACAACTCTGAGTAGAAGGACTTGTGGGTGTTGGGTCATGAGAAGCTCACCATGAGCCTGCACCATGTGCTGGCAGGCCAGAAACCAACTATGTCCTGGGCTGCATCTCCAGCAGTGGGACCAACAGGGCTAGGGAGGTGATCATCCCCCTCTGCTTTGCGCTGATCCAAGGGCTGGCGCAGCTCTGCTCTGGAGGCAGGCTGAGAGAGTTGGGGTTGTTCAGCCTGGAGGAGAGAAGGCTCTGGGGAGACCTTAGAGCACCTTCCAGGACCTGGAGGGGCTACAGGAAAGCTGGGGAGGGACTTTTGACAAGGGCAGGGAGTGATGGGATGAGGAGGAATGGTTTCAAGCTGCAAGAGGGAAGACTGAGATGAGATCTGAGGAAGAAATTCTTTGCTGTGAGGGTGGTGAGACACTGGCCCAGGTTGCCCAGCTGTGGCTGCCCCATTCCTGCAAGTGTCCCAGGCCAGGCTGGCTGGAGCTTGGAGCAATCTGGTCTAGTGGAGGTGTCCCAGCCCATGGCAGGGGATTGGAACTAGATGATCTTTAAGGTCCCTTCCAACACACAACATTCTGTGATTATATGATTTTGTTGTTGTTGTAGTGAAACAATTACCATTGCATCCAGCAGCTTCCTACATGGACCTACCTGCATCTGAGGCACAAGTGCACAGCCCTACAGCAGCAGCATCAGTGAAGAATGCTGTGATGTGCACCATGTTCAGCAGCAAAGCATGCTCCTGTGCTACAGACTGCAGCTCCCTAGCTCCAGCTAAACAAGGGCTGAAGCCAATCACGAGGTCAAAGCTTTAGTGCTTCTCAAAGGTGATTCTCCATATCCATGTTGTTCTTGCTTCCTGGCTCTTAGCTCACAGATCTGAATATAGCACCAGTCCCTGGCCCCTCTTGTTACCAGCATCCCAATGCACCACTGCATCTGCTCACCAAAGACTAATTAGTCTCAAAGAGACTAATTGGGAGGGAAAATAATGGAAAGGAGGAATGGATAAGAAGCACAAAAGCTGAAGTGACCTGCTCATGGCCAGTCAAGTGGAATCACCTCTGATTTCCAATCCTAAACTCTCTCCTCTTCCATTGGTCCTGCAATCCACCCAAAGAAGACACTGCTTTTTGGGAAGTTATCATAGCAGAGACTGGAGCCTTGACAGAGAGGATGAAGCACCAACCAACACAAATACTCTAACACAATCTTGAAGATCATGACATTATTGCAATTTCCATGTTAACAAAAACCAACAAAACCCAAAAGGGATGTGAATTATTGCAGC